AATGACAAGACTAATCCCAGGCATTAGGAAACTTGAGTACAAAGACAGGTTAACGCATCTTAATTTGCACTCCCTACCTCGTTCCCTACCTCGACATTGCTAATGAGGTTTTCTCTGTTCGACAGAACTAAATCCAGTATATTATTACCCCGTGTGGGTTCGGTTATATGTTGACTTAGGAAACAGTCCTGGATCGTCCCGAGAAAATCCTCTGATTCTGAGTTACCCGTAAGGACAGTCCAATCTATTTGGCCAAGGTTAAAGTCGCCTACTATACAGACTTTGTTGTGTATGGAAGCCCTGCGCATTTCATCCCAGATAAGTCGCTCATTGACGCTATCAAGATTGGGGGGTCTATATATTACCCCTGTGATTAATTTTTCCCGACCGTCGCTTAATTCTATCCAAATTGTTTCTGTATTCCTCTGTTTTTATTTCCTTATTTATTTCACACTTCAGATTATCCCTAACATATATTGCTACTCCGCCTCCTTTCCTGGTCTGCCTATCGGTATGGAACAGTTTGTAACCCGCAATTTATATTCGACTGGTAATTCACGGTTCAGGTTGATCCATGTTTCAGTGAATGCAATTATATCGATTTCTTCGGTACATACCAAGGCCTTAATATCATCCATTTTGTTTCTCATACTTCTACTGTTCGCGTAGTATACATTTAGTTAGTTAGTCGTGTTCTGAGTCCTTCCCTTACCGCGTTTAGTTTTAAACTCCGTCTAATTTAGTTTTGTCATCATTCCTAACACTATTTCCCTGTAATCTTTCGCCTTGTTTACCCGCTCCCACTGCAGTCTCCTCCACCCCCGTGCTCCTATGTTCTCTTAGCAGCTTAAAGACTTCGATATCTTTTGAACTGCCCCCTCTAGAGCCCCAGCCAGGGTTGCTATTCCATCCCTAGACAGGTGCACCCCATCCCTAGCATAAAGGTCCCTTCTGCCATAGAAGTTGTCCCAGTTGTCAATGAATGGGACTGATATTGACTTGCAATATCTGTCAAGACGGTCGTTAACACCAACTGCCCTTGACAACCATTCACTGCCAACTCTCCTTCTAGGCAGGACACCGCATATGATAGGGATCCCTCCCTTAGTCCTAATACGATCTATGGCTGCCTTGAACTTATCAAGAAGTTCCTCGCTCCTACACCGGCCAATATCATTGCCTCCTGCACTGAGGCAGATAATGGGTTTGTTCCCATTACCAGACAAGATATTGTCCATCCTGTCAATTATATCCCCCACCCCAGCTCCCTGGCAAACACACCCTCATCCTATTTTTGTTTTTACCACAAAAGGCCCTGTCCATGTACCTTACCTGTGAGTCACCAACAATTAAAGTTTTTATACCTTCCTTGTCATCCCTGCCCCTGACTGTACTAACGTCCAATTCGTCTATCAAGGGACTGAACGGGTTGGTACACTTAGCTGTTGTTGTCGTTGTTGTCGTATCCTTCGTGTGCTTCTTCACCACCAGCTTGGTCCTCCCACTACTCACGACTTTCCACTCGTTTGATTTTTCGTCAGACACTGGCTTTACTCGTCCAGCCTCTCCTTTTAACTTCGCCAGCTCTTTCCTTAATTTCAGGTTCTCCAACGTGGCCCTCTCAATTTCTAACTTGGCCCTCGCCAATTCTTCAGTGGACCACTCCAGTTTGGTCAACAAACTCTCATACCCAAGACCGCACATATCACTGGCCATATCTGATAATTATCCCTCTGGAGCTAACCCTGCCGTGACCTTTCCCCTAGTGAGGTCAGAACACTAGTGAGTGAGGTCAGAACACTAGTGAGTGAGGTCAGAACACTAGTGAAGGTCAGAAGGTCAGTCAGGGTTAAACAAAGGGGACATTACAAAGGTACTCAAACTATCCAACCAGGAGCGAACTCGTAACAATGGTTTTAAATTAGACAAATTTAGATTTCGGCGTGAAATAGGTAAACACTGGTTTGGAAACAGAGTTGTGGATGAATGGAACAAGTTACCAAATATCATCATTAACTCGAATACGCTGGATAGCTTCAAACATAGGTTGGATACTTATATGAGCAATAGGGGTTGGGTATGAACGGGACTGCCCAGTATGGGTCAAAAGGCCCGCTGCAGTTTCCTCCATTCTTACATTCTTATGTTATGTCGAGTTCTATTTGCGTAGGATGCTGTGTTATGTATGTGTTTTCGTGAATGATTTGGGCACTTGACCTTGTGTTTTTGTCACCACTGGAGGCCTGTTTACGAGCAACAGGCCGCCCGGTTAGTGGTACACTCGCTCCAAAAAGTATCTTTAAGAGGGGTCCAATGAATTTCAAAAATGAACACCACTACTCCTTTTTTCTCGATAGGGTTTTCAAAATATTTCGTCCGTTGTTAGTGTCTTGCACAAATTCGTGTAAGATAATTTTTGGAGCAAGTGTACATGGGCCGACCACCACAAAGTGAACCCCATTTGTCAGTCAGATGACCCGATTATAATTATATCGGCTCGCTCTACTTAATGACGTACGACCAGTTGATGGCTGACGAGTTTTACTGGTGTAATTATGTCTTCTACCTATACACGCCAGGTAGTCTCGCCTCTTGTTGGCAGAATAACCGGCCTTTTTTTCAATCTTTCTCACCATCTACATACTGTATATACAGCAAGTGGTGGTTATATCCCCGAACGACTTCGTATGATATTAATGAATCCTGCATGTCTCGCCTGTGTCCGACCCAGCCTTAGTGTCAGCATGGTAACATTTGGGGGGATTTACAGATCCAATTTTAATGAGATTTGGTGGCCATATTGATATCCTAAACTTAGCATAAACAGCATCATTATACAGTATACATAAAGAGCAGTGCAAGGTTGAGAACCTCCCCAGTGGAGTATGATAAATTTTGAATAATTTTATACACAGTGTAATTGTCGTTTTACTCGTACAAGTTTTAAGTAACTGCTCATGTTTCTTGTAGTATTTTTACTTGTGTAACTGAGCGGCGGTAATCACTGGGGAGTGTTGTTTTCACCTCCGTGTTGGTCCTTCTATTTACATTTAAATACGAAGAAATGGTGTTAGTCGTCACATGGGCCGTGAGTGAGTGCATTACGTGTGTGGGGGACCATGCCGAGATAAGATTGAAAAAGATAAGTCCGCTACAGTTATTCGGTTCTCTTGTATGATAAGCGGGAAGACAGATACTAGAGGACTTGTCACCCACGATAGGGACGGCAACAGGTCGACTATAGTCCCGGGGATCGAGTAGAACCATTACCGAACCCCCCAACCTCTCCGGAGAGAACATTACCATATTTTTAATTAACGAAAACTAGTTTCGCTCGTTTTGTATAATATTCAATTATTATTATGTTCGCCTGCTATGAATTCAATTGCCGATATCTACTGAACCCAGGAGAATCTTTGTAAAATTATGTAGATAGACTAGTCTTAATTAATGTAAATATCAGAGGATGAGATGAATCGGGTTGCAATATAGACAACATTGCTGCAATATAGACAACATTGCTGCGTTGCCGTTGGCTTGTAAGTTTGACTAAAGCATCTCATTGGCCATATACTCCGAGGATTATAATACTTGAGGTTTAACAGGAGATGCTGGCTCTATCTCGGACCCTTTCATGGCCCCTCACCCAGCCTTTCCTCCCTATAGTGTCGCCCTAACTTGCAGTTTGGGCAGGTATCGAACAGGGAGGTACTACCGCCTGGGAAGATATTGGAAGCATAATGTGTGTGTGATGGTAGACCCTGCTGCCATATAGCATCACAAAAATTGTGACCAAGTCCCAGGTTGCTGATCTGACTTTCTGCCTCATTTACATGCAATTGCAGGGTCTCAATTGTTTCTCTTTGACAACACAACATACATATATTGTTTCTCACTTTTGATCTTTTTTCATTTGTGTTTCTTTATGGTTCTATATTATTTTTTATTATAAATTTTATTTAATATGAACTAATTAATTATTATTATTATTATTATTATTATTTTTTTTTTTTATTGGGCACTCCCCTACATCCTTGTGTAAGGTGAAGCGCAGAAGCGTTTACAGCGTCCAACAGGGATTCATGTTAAGTTCATGCTTGCCTTTATGTCTCATGAGTTAAGGGCGTAGAAGCCTGAAGAGTCAAGGGCGTAGATGCCTGAAGAGTCAGTGGTTTATGTCATCAAGTTATTGGAAGCTCCAACAACTCCCTGAATACGAATTCGCAACTTTCGACTTACAACAGGTATCTACTTTACTGCTAGGTGAACAGGGACTAATGGGGGCTAAGAAGTAAGTCCAAACAACTTCCACCGGCCCGGGAATCGAACCCGTGACATCTCGCTTGCGAGGCAAGAACGGTACCGTTTCTACCACCGGTCCCCCTATATTATTATTATTACATTTTCGCCCCCCAGGCCCCAATGTGGGTCAGTGACCTGTGCCCGGGTGGACTAATCCTGAAAAAAATAAAAACCTGTAGTCGCACCAAGTCTGGTTTTCACCTTATTTCCGCTTGTTTTGTTCACCTTGCTCTCACCTATCCCTTATATCCCCCCTCCCCCCTCGTAGGTCTCTCAGTATCTTGTTCCTTCATATCCATCTTCAATTTTTCATCTCGCCCTTCTATTATATTTCTTGGTCTCCTTCGTCCTTTACCCCCTTGTCCTTTTCTTTTTATTCATCTCCCTCCCTCCTTCCCTCGCCCTTCCTTCACCTTGTCCTGCTTTCTTCTCTTCGCTCCCTTCACCATGTCGCTTCACTTGCCCCTTTTCCCCTTATTACTCTTTCATTCTTCATTTAATCCTTCCTCTCCTCTTCCCCATCATTCACACCTTGTACCCCTTCGTCATCCACTCATTTCTCATCCCCTCATTCACCTTGGCTATTGCTCCACACCTTTCATTTTATCATGGCTATTTGAGATTATACTGGCGTTATCACTAAACTGATAACGGATACACCGGTGATAGCGTGGTGGCGCAGTTGTGGTCTGTCTCGTAGATGGGGAGCATTCTGAAACCTGGCGGTCCTGCCCGCCCAAAAAATCAAACGCTGTAAATTTGTTGAGTGCAGCTACAAACTATTGTTGTGAAGTATTAGTTGGTGCCATCTTGGTGTAGTTGGGTTAGTGGAGTGTGGGTGTATCTGGAAGTGTACACGGTCGGTGAATCATTAGTGAGCGGTGCTCCTCGCTGCTGAATACCTGTTGGGGCCGTACTCTATTTTTATCTGTGGTAAGTTATTTTTCCTGTATTAATGGCTCAGTGGTGCATAAATGCCAGGTATCCAGGGAGTTATATTACTTGGCATGTCCCTTTATGCCTCTTGAGAGCACATTTTCGGTGCTATTGTAGTATACGGTCTACCGGGATATTTACAATGTAGCGTCTATTAACCTAACCTAACCTAGCTTCGGTTAAGTTAATGGCTGCTGCAGTGTAAATATCCCGGTAGACACAACTTCAGCTCGGTAGACCGCATACTATAGTGTAAATAACCTGGTAGACCGCATACTACTGTATAGGCAAGGTCAGACCTTGACTATATTAGCACCACATTTTCTTCATCTGTACAGTACATTTACAGGTACATCCCGCTCATAAGTTTATTACAGTATTTGTTATTGATGGAAAGTTAGTTAGGTACCGTCTTACTGCTATTGTTCCAACAAAGTTTTTTTTTCCTATCTCTACTTTTTAAAAGTATGGTGGGTGTTGGATATTAAACCAACTGAGTTGAGTGTGTTAGGTTTTGCAGTAGTCGAGGAGTGTAAGAGAGGGGTTCTGGCAACATTGTATCAGACCAGGTGGCCCAGACATCGCTTCGTCTCTACTTCTATTTATCACCACACAGATGTCTAGTATCACGCTCCAAACATGAGGTGTCACGCACAAGTAACTCGTCACTCATATAGTTGGCACATAGGAGGTTTGCGTTGGAGTCTTCGCTAGAATGATGTACTTGTACAGTATTTGTAAGCGTAGTAGTGCATGTGTCCGCCAAGGATTGGGTTCACCTGGGGAGGTAAAACAGCCGGCAGGCGAGTCCAGATCAGGTAGATCACACTCACTCAGGAATGTTCCCGCTTAAACAAGATTGTGTATTGTAGTAGAGGTCTGTGTAATCCAGTGGTTCTTAACCTTGTTTTAGTGCTCACACCCCTTGATTTCTCATTTTCTCGCACCCCTTGTCAAAAATAAGTCTTGTATTTAGAATTAGATTATTAGATTTATAACACTTTATTTTTACAGCATAACCACAAATAGAGGTGAAATGGCACAACGACACACTTAGCACACTAATTAGTGGGTAAGAACTTAGATGTATTTAGTGGCATACAACCATACTACACACTGCCACAGTCTTTGTTAGTGGCTCTTTTGTTCTTGTTTTTGATCGATGACGATCTTCAAACGAGGTCCTTATTTTGAAATGGCCACACACACGTCATCACTTGCACCCAAACGGTTCAGGAGCGTTGAAAACCCCGCCTCCCACAAGTAAGTCACAAAAGGTACTAGGACCTCAGAGCTCTCCGTCAACTGTGGGAACGTTTTCAGCAGAGCACACCAGGAAATGCCGAGCTGCATTGATTAAAAAAAAAAAAATTCGGATTTTTCATTGGCCTTCACTTCAACAAGATCACCATTTCATTATGTCACTCGTCTGCGGAATCCTGGGTGAAAAAGAAATGGATCCCGATCATCCCGTATTCACCTCTATGCCAAAGAAACTTTTCCATGGTAAAAATAGCCATGGGATGATGGGAGAACTGAATCGTGAAAAATGTGAAATTTTAGTAACTGCGAATATACAAGTGAATCGGCCAGCACCCCCAGGTGAAGAACCACTAGTCTGATCAATCCTCTGTACTCGTGGGAATAGATATTACTGTATATCTGTTCATTACCCACCAGTCTGATCCATCCATTCACATACCTCAGGCTGGTGGTATGACAACCTGAGCTTATCTCGACTGATTTAAACTCGCGCATGTTCTGTAAGTTACTACATATAGCTACGTCAGTGTATGTGCTCTGGCGAGTTGCTTGGTTAGTTGAAACTTGTTTGTATAATTCCAGTCTAAACTGTCTGGAAGACACCGGTCAAATAGTCTTTCCTTTACACCCATCTACAGTCGATCGTGTGAACCATCACTGACTCCAGACATTCTGAGCTATCACTACGGAATATGACAAATTTAAAGTGACACGTTTTACTGCATATAGGTAATAGAGCAAGAGAAGTGCCCTCTGAGGAAATGCTAACAGGCTGTGGGTGTTGTGTGTGAGGTAGTGTGAACCGTCAACATCATGTGGGTCTTGGAGATAACACTACTGTAGACTGGGCCCAAGTGGTGGCCGACTCGCCCACCTTTTTATCACCACCACTAACACACACACACACACACACACACACACACACACACGCGCGCGCGCGCGCGCAAATGTACACACACACACACACACACACACACACACACACACACACACACATATGCGCACACGCACAAACGCGTAGAAATATGTACGCGTATGTATGATCTCTGTATGTTCCTTTACCTTTCTCTAATGAAGGCTTTTGTTAAACCACCAATGAAGATAAGTCATTTATGTCCAATGTATATTTTCAGCCTTCGGGCTGCAGAACTTTTTTAATAAACCGTTAATTATTATTATTATTATTATTATTATTATTATTATTATTATTATTTAAATACGCGTACGCACGCACACTTGCAGACCTTGAGGGAATGAAAAAGAAGAAAATTGAAGGTCAAGGAAGGGGTAGAGGAGTCGACCCTTAACGTTTCCGGAAACTGGACGAGTGGATGTTGTCAACACACACACACACACACACACACTGCTTTGTGGGTGTGGCAACAAAGGCAACGACAGCAGTTGTAGGTTGGCCTCTTACTGGTGTTGATGAAGGTGTGGTCGCGGGGCTTGAGGATCCTTTCATGCTAATGTTTGTGTAATGGATTTGTGGTTGTGTGGCTGTTGTGACTCATTGATCCTCCGGCGGGTTATTCGTCGTCGTCTTGTTCAAAATTTTCCTTCTCAGGCGTTTCTTGAAATAAATTGATTTCCTGAAGGAACTTTTTCGACGCTAGCTGTTCATATGCCCGACGTCTATTGTCTGTCCGAGAGGGAGCGCCATAGTTAGAACATTTAACCATGCTTATACGGGCGGGGGGCAGGACCTCCCCCTTTCATCAGAAAATTCCAATACTTTTTCTTGGTGGCAGTATTGTACTCAGGCCTTCTTGTATAGTAAAAAAGTAATTACTATTGACCTCAGAATATCTCCTAATAGCAAGTGCACGTGGCTTCAAAATGCCCATGATATTGGTCGGATATAAAAAAAAATGGGGGGGGTGGGGATTCGCTGTGCTCGCCATGTCCCCCCTCCTTTGATAATCCTGGATCCTCCTCTGTTGTACACGATTAGGAGCATGGATGTTGTGCACAACCTTGACTTTTTATCCCGTAATTCGTGTCCGGTCATTAATTACCTGGGCAGGAAGCTGCACAAAAGCATCTCAATATGTGTCACGTATTAAATACAGGAGGATTATTCAAAGGTGAAGGTCCGATAAATTCCGAGTTTACCATAAATGGTCTCACTCCTCAAGTCCTTGTTGAGCAGCAGCAGTCACTCGCCACCTTTGTTATGAAACTTTATATAATGTGAAGTATATTGTGATTCAATAAGGTATTGTACGTCTTTCTCATTTTTTCGTTCACAGTCTTTCATCTGTAAAATACTATGGACAAATTCCATATTTCTCAATTGATATTTACAATTGTGTGGAAGGGGAGTAGGCTGTGTATATTATAAGGTGTACCATAAAATTCCAATTTATGGAGTTTGGTTTATAAATTACCGGCTCCTGACGGATCATAATGATTACTCGACAAACATTTCTAGTTTGATAAAAACTGTCAAGGATTGACTATGTGTTTGCATGAGTGTGTTGTGAAAGTTGGTATTTTATCACGAAGATACAAATCTGAAATTTGACTGCTATAAGCAATAGTATATAGTTAATAGGGATTCAATCTCATTCGGCCTTTGCACGGTTTTCCCGTCCCGTGTATGGAGTCTTCCGTTTTAGGAATAACAGTAGATAAAGCGTCGATAAATACTTCCGGCTAGTCTCCAAGCTGGTGGCGCTGTGCTTGTGTGTGTGTAAAAGTCAACCTGGACACTACCTTTGTGGTGACAAAACTGTTCCAGCCGCGTTTGACTGTGACCCTCCGGTCTCGCTGTTCCCCCCCTTCTGTACAGTCTTGCTAACGGAGTGTTATTGTTAACTGGAGCAGTAGTTGATTGACTGGTAGGTCGATGACTGGTGGATGTGCTGGCTGGCGGGTCGGTTAACTTTCACTTTTTTCAGTCATGCAAGTGAAGGTTAAAGTAACTGAAAAGGAAATTACACAAATTTCATGAAATGCCAATATGTAAAGATTTAGTGCGTTGTGCGGGTATGTGTGCGCGCGCGCGCGTGCGTGTGTATGCGTGTTGGACGCCTTCCACAAGTGTTCATGGTGTTGTTTATCTTCACTTCTTTTTTCGAACATTTTTTTTCTGTTACATTGCCAACCATTTTGTAGGCTGTGTAGAGAGAAGACAATGTTACTGGACCACAGCTTGTGAGTGGTGAGGCCGGACATGGCTGCTCTGCCTGCTGTGTTACACAGGAGCCCTGCGGCTCCTGTGTTTGTGTTGTTTAAAAAAAAAAAGCTTAGCGACTGGTTATCTGGATAATAGACAAATATTTATCAACGGAATTTTGAAACCATATAACCTATGGTGATCTTAATATGGAATACGTTTTTCACCTTGACTAACTTTCACGGAACCCCATTTTGTGGTACTTACTGTACTAAATAAAGAAAAACGGAAGGGGGGGGAGGCAATTTCGTTCGCCTACCCTGTTTTTCCCCACTTCCACACATTTCACCAGAAACGGTCACAGGCGACCCAGGTTGTAGGCTAATACTTTACTACCTCTGGAGTTGGCTGTTAACACATTTAGCGAGTCATAAAACGTAATTGTTGCCCTTGTAGAGCCTCGCATTATGGCCTGGCTGATGTTTGTGATTACTTTTCAGAGAGAGTTCTTCACCGGCCCCTAGAATCCATGAATGGATCCAGGAGGATAGTTGAGAACTGGTTTTTCTGGTGTTATTACTGGGTTGTGGTGTTCAACCCAGGGCGTGGATTTAGAGGGCTTTACATGATGATAATGACCAAGTGTTGTGTAGGACGCTGTGGAGAGCTGCTTGCCTTGTTCATGCTGGAATATCCATGAATGATAAATATACTTAATTGTATTGTGTAAGGTTACGCGTCTGTATTACTGTTGTGTATGGTTAAACTTTTGTATTTTTGTGTACTAGTTTATCATAGCATTTATATGGATATTATATAAGGTTAACATTTAAATTGTGTGACATAGAAAAAAATCTGAATTAGTATGACGTGAAGTTAACATCCTTTTGTAAAAGTTCTGTTGATCATGTTACTATTTGTGTGAATCACGTGCATGTTAGTAATAAAATAATGCTAAGTATTAGACTTCCTTTATAGTACGCGACTATTCTTAACATACTGTACTAGTGTGAGTCGCATCCCTGGAGATGTAGGAGTTAAAGAATTTCCTTTTTGTTTACTTATCTTTTTGCTCTCCGCAGATGCACGATCAAATGCACTTGCCGATGGTGGAACAACCAAATCATTGTATTGACCTCATAACTCAACATAATTACTTACGATCACCAGTATTGTTTGTGTATGTTAGCTCATTGTATCTGACCTATTGCACAAGTACTAGTGTCACTGATATTGTCATATTATAACCAGTTTGGTTGTTAGTTATCACCTGTAAACTAATACAACTTTCTTCTCTAGCGCACGATTAGATTTGTACAAAACTAAACGGTAATTAATATTTTTGACCACTCCGTGTAAGTGTGTGTTAATACAGACTGTAGAGGCTTACATCAGCTCAACTCGACACTAATGACATTCCTGACGAGATAGTGATATCAGGGCGAGGGGCCACCTGCAGGGGCCAAGAGCAGCTATCATGTTGTTCTGTCGCGGAAGATTCCTAATGCGAGGCGAATGTAGGGTAAGAGGTATACAGTGGTGCGCTATTCGATAATCATTGGATAGCAGATTTTGCCCTTAAGCGGACCCCAGAACCTTCTACAGCCCCCAATACCTTATACAGTTCCCAGAACCTCAAACAACCTCCAAGAACCTTCTACAGCCCCCAGAACCTTATACAACCTCCAAGAACCTTACGCAGCCTCCCGGACCTTACGCAGCCTCCCGGAACCTTAGGCAGCCCCGAACCTTAGGGCAGCCCCCCCTAGGCAGCCCCCCAGGCAGCCCCCGAACCTTAGGCAGCCCCCCGGAACCTTAGGCAGCCCCCCGAACCTTAGGCAGCCCCGAACCCAGAGCAACCTTAGGCAGCCCCCGGAACCTTAGGCAGCCCCCCTTAGGCAGCCCCGGAACCTTAGCAGCAGCCCCCGGAACCCAGCAGCCCCGAACCTTACGCCCGCAGCCCCCAGAACCTCGCAGCCCCCAGAACCTTCGCAGCCCCAGAACCTTCTGCAGCCTCCCAGAACCTTCTGCAGCCTCCCAGAACCTTCTGCAGCCTCCCAGAACCTTCTGCAGCCTCCCAGAACCTTCTGCAGCCTCCCAGAACCTTCTGCAGCCTCCCAGAACCTTCTGCAGCCTCCCAGAACCTTCTGCAGCCTCCCAGAACCTTCTGCAGCCCCCCAGCCTCCCAGAACCTTCTGCAGCCCCTCAGAGCCCCAGAACCCACACAGCCCCCAGAACCTTACACCCCCCCAGGACTTCCAGACTCCATAAAATATCATGGTGTGAAGGTGTGGAACAACTTACCCCCACTCATCCGAGCAAAGACTACGGTGTGAAGGTGTGGAACAACTTACCCCCACTCATCCGAGCAAAGACTACGCTCCCTTCCTTTAAATCGTCTCTTAAAAAAATATCTTCTGTCTACGTATCAATGTTTTTGTAATACGTACTTTATTGTCTTTATTGTACCGCCCAAACAATCATAACGAACTGTCATGTAGATAGATAGAAATTACCATTGCAATTATCAATTTGCCGACACTGATACCGATAACTTGTCCTCTTGTTCCTCCTTAATACAACCCAGATAACAACTCTGCTGTAAAATAATGTAAATATTCTAATATAAATGTAAAAATAAATAAATAAGTGATAGCCTTAGTAACATTGATATGTTCTTACTACCACCAAGTTACGTGTACTATTCTAGATGATACTAAGTGTTACATATTTCCTTCAGATAAATGTACAGTATATAGCAGGAGCCTTCAAGAGAGCTCAGGCTCTCAACTGGCTCAACCATGTTAATATGATTTTTATCGACTATCTGTGTTGTTCTGGCAATATAAACTGCTTCAATATCAATACCAGGGTATCGAGTGGACTGCGTGCGTGCGTTGCCCATTTGTTCTCTAGTTTCAAATTTTCACACAACTGTTGATTGTGAACAGTGGTCAGACGTTATTTTTATTATTTTACGCTTTATGAGATGACGGCAGATAATTACAATAATAGCGGTAGTGTTTAGATATGATTGATTACTATTAATAATAAGTGGTAGCAATGGTAGTGTTAAAAATTGACTGTATATGACTGCATGGCGCTACGTCCTTACAAATTTATGTACCAGCTGACGATAACGCACTGTAAATATATCGCGTTAGAGTGCTGGGAAGATTGCAACTTTTGCAAGCATGTTATGAAGAAGTTGATGTTGCCGAGTTAGTGATCTTGGTTGTTGATGACACTTCAGTATATCCAGCGTGTCTCTAGGAGCATTAGTATCTACTTTTTTGTAGCAAGACTCTAGCTTTACCGACAGGTATTTGGGTGAGTACCGTACAATGTTTAACCCAAGTTGGTCTTTATGACGTAATGAGGGTCACTTGCAGGAATATACAGTACGTTTATTTCTCGTAGTGATGATGTTAATTTACAGTTTACGGACTACGAGTTACTGCCGTTAATGTTGACAAGGATAACACAAGCGCAATGTTTAAAAAAAAATATGGGTCATTGTTGACGGCACTTAGTGGTACCATGGCATTGTTTGCACTTGTAGGTTGTGTATTACCTTATACTTTAAACTTAAGAGTGATCATAAGAGGTCGCAGCATGGTACACTCGACATTACGACATACAGCTTTAAGTCGTGGTCATGGGCGGTGTTCACAGGTGGTGGTGGTGGTGAGTCAGAGGCACAAGTGTTGGTGTTAGTCCTCAGCCAGGTGTGAGCTGCCTAGTATATAATCATTCACTACATCCCCTCGCATTCCCTCGCCCAATTATTTGGATTTGTTTATATTTACGCGCCAGATGAGAAACGGATGTACCGTGGTATGGTATATGGTTATTGTTTGATTAGGTGTTCGTAAAATTGTACTTTGTTGGGGCACAATGCTTGTATTGACACATGGTTGTTGACAACTTCATAAGAATATTTCCCCACTAGATGAATTACAGAACCCCAGATTCAAGTATGTATCATTAGTGAAGGTCACCTGTAGATCACATCAGATATAAGCAGCGGGTATATTAGCTACAGTATGTAGTGCGATATTCACATTTTCCCAGGGAGGGGTGTCGCCGCACAAAGTATTGACGTCAATATACCTATCGCCTCTTTAATTGGCTTATCCGTATATAGTTGGACATTATATAGGGTGTGGCAGAGGGAGTTACTTCTCCCCCGTGGTGTTGGGAGGAGGGATCGGTTAACCGCTTCTCGTGTGTAATCTTCAACCTCCGCCATCAGGCACTGTGTATAGGAAGGCTGGCGGTGATGATGAGGGCGGCCACTTGTGATTACATTACGCTGTTCCTTCCCGCCACGCCCATCCTGCCGCCCCCGCCCCACTCTGTTAGGTGTAACCTGAATAAACTTTTATCAGAGTAAAAAAAAAAAATTAAAAGTTGAAACGAGATGTTTGGGGTGATTGTGTTGATTTGCTTGGGTGGAACCACGGGGAGAGATTTATTGTTGTCGGTTGTCTTATGAATTTTGAAAAAAGGATGATTGTATTTCAGTTGGATTTTAAGATTCTCTTTTTGTATTCATAAAGTATTACTTTTGGGCTTGTATACTCATTAGTGTTTGTAGTGTGTATAATAAGGATTGTGGGATTTTGTCCTGCATTTTGTGCAAACATTGTATTCACACATGGTGTATATGTACGAATTTAGGATTTTTAGTACACATATACCAAGTGAGTTGCGTTAATGAAACGTAAGTCCATGATGAAATATATGGGTTATTGCTGGTTAAAGTGGGTGGGGACAACCTTGTAGTGTAGTATCGTCCTTGGTATCGAGTGAGGTTCATTTTCTCATGTGAAGTAAGCATTCATATTTGTACTTTATGCATCGCGTTTAAACTGACTAAAATAGTTTAAACTGACTAAAATATTGAACTATTTAGCTAAGGTGACAACTTTGTTATAGTGTGCGAGTGTTGTGTATTATTAGCTGGTGTGGAGTGACGAAACAGTATGTTAGAGGTGACTTTGTGTATATAACTGTGTTGTAAATCACTAATAAGTATTTTTGTGTTGTTGCAGGATGGTGAGGTAGGGAAGGCGTGGTGGCGAGATGTCGTCGGCCCTGTCGACCCGCGAGGACGCTCTGCGCCAGTTTGAGACTGGTCGCATCCAGCACTTGCGGGAGGAGCGCCTCGGTATACAGAAGAAAACCTTCACAAAATGGATGAACTCCTTCCTCGTCAAGGTGAGTTGCCTCGGCTGTCAGGACGTCTTTAAGGGGCATTTTACAGGATTAGGGGACATTTTATAGTTACAGGATTAGAGTACTTTACTGGATTAGGGGCACTTTACAATTACAGGATTAGGGGGACTTTACAGTTACAATAAAATGGGGACAGTTCACAATCAAAACATGTTTAAACTCGTGACTTTGTTCTATGTAAAAAATAAAATAAAAATTTTAAACATCCGTTGACAAAATTTGTGTTGAGGAACACGAGAAAACTAGTATAGAGATTATTGTTAGTTGTATAATTTTAGGCAGTGTTTTGTGGCTACCATTACATGGGGAGTGTGGCCACGCATTTTTTGCCGTGTACGCTCAGTTAAGAACAATTACCTCACATCCTGAACCTTATTCTTGTTTGTGTATTGTATCATGTAATAATGGTTGCCCCTTGTATTCGAGAATGACTGGCCCTTGGGCTATCTAGGCGTGAATTTGTTTAAGGTATGGAAGCTGTCGCCAACACAACACGCCCAAAGTTAACGAACTGTATGAGCCAGTGTCAACCATTACTCCGGAACACGATCCTCAATGCGATTAACATCCTGGTCACCAATTACTGGTGGGTAGGCAAATGGCGTCAAGAAGCTTGTCCCTAGTTTCACCCTGCCCGGGGATCGACCCCGGTCCACTGGCATGCGAAGGGGGCATGCTGTCCATAAAACCACAAGTCATAGTATATCACACACACACACACACACACACTTTTTTGTTTCTTTTTCTCATCTTTTTTACTCTACTCCCTCTTAATATTACTTAATTCTCTCTCCTTTCTCCTCGCTTCTTAGTCGCCATAACAACAAGGACCATAGTGTCTTGGCTCTGCTCTTATTATGTAATTGAGGCCGGGGTGTGTGTGTGTGTGTGTGTGTGTGTGTGTGTGTGTGTGTAATAATAATAATAATAATTAACGGTTTATTGAAAGAGCTTGGCAGCCAGAAGGCTGAAAATATACAGTTACATATTTGGGGAATGGGTTTCGAATTACAAATAATATACAAGTAACATAAGTGACACAAATAAGACATATAATAACTAGATGGGGAAAAGCTCAAACTAGAGTTCATTTCAACAGTGACAGTGCAAGGAGTAGTGTTTACTGGGAGTGAATACACTGGTTTATTACAAGTTATTGATAATTTTTACAATGGTTGGGACTGGGCTGTTCTTATAGCGATCAGTTCGTGCACGTATGGGCTGGGTGCGGTTGTGGTGTCGAACAGCAATTCTCGGACTAGGGATCTCAGGTGGTAGTAGGAGCCGGTGTCGAGGATGGTGTAGAAGCTTCTTACCAAATTTGCAGATGAGATCGTGGTGATGGTCAGTGAGAGTCGAAAGAGTCAGTGTGTTGAGCGCTTCTTGATATGTGGAGTAGGAAGGGGAGAGAATAATCTTGCATGCCCTCTTTTGCACTTTTTCTAGGTGTTTATGTTGTGTGGCATTTAGGGAGGAAGACCAGGTGGGGGAGGCATAGGTGAGCTTGGGAAGTATGAATGTTGTGTAAACACTGAGGAGCTCGGGTGCAGGAACTCCGAGGGACTTGAGTCGGCGGAGGAGGTGGAGACGGAAACTGGAGGATTTGACAACTTCACTGACGTGTGGTTTCCAATTTAGTTTGTTGTCTATGGTGACGCCGAGGAGCTTCGTGGAATCTACAACCTGTGTGTGTGTTTTTGTGTGTGTGTTTTTGTGTGTGTGTTTTTGTGTGTGTGTGTGTGTGTGTGTGTGTGTGTGGGTCGGTCGGTCGGTCGGTCGTACCCTCAACATGCCCTTCTCTCACGTTTCTAGGATTCAGTTGTTATATTCTCTCTTCTCTTTTCTCCTCATCTCTTTTCTCCTCATCTCTTTTCTCCTCATCTCTTTTCTCCTCATCTCTTTTCTCCTCTTCTCTTTTCTCCTCATCTCTTTTCTCCTTTCTTCTCTTTTCTTCTCTGCTCTTTTCTCCTCTCTTCTCTTTTCTCCTCTCTTCTCTTCTCTGTTTTTCCCATTTGACTCTACCCCTTCCACAACCACCTCTCGTGTCTACCCCTTCCACAACCACCTCTCGTGTCTACCCCTTCCACAACCACCTCTCGTGTCTACCCCTTCCACAACCACCTCTCGTGTGTCTACCCCTTCCACAACCACCTCTCGTGTCTACAACCACCTCTCGTGTCTACCCTTCACAACCACCTCTCGTGTCTACAACCACCTCTCAACTACGTGTGTCTACCCTTCCACAACCACCTCCTCGTGTCTACCCTTCCACAACCACCTCTCGTGTCTCCCTTCCACAACCACCTCTCGTGTCACCCCTTCCACAACCACCTCCGTGTCTACCCCTTCCACAACCACCTCTCGTGTCTACCCCTTCCTTCTCGTGTCTACCTTCCACAACCACCTCTCGTGTCTACCCCTTCCACAACCACCTCTCGTGTCTACCCCTTCCACAACCACCTCTCGTGTCTACCCCTTCCACAACCACCTCTCGTGTCTACCCCTTCAACATCTACCTCGTCACTATTCTTTGCTCCGCACTTCCCCTTATCTGATTTGTTTTTGTTCTACTGGTAATGTTGTCCTCCAGGTGTGGTGTAACTGTAACTTGTCCTCCAGTTGTCGTTTAACTGTAACTTGTCCTCCAGTGTGGTGTAAGTGATGTGTGTCCTTGGTCAATATTGCTGTACTATTAACCCACCCTCCTCTGCCTATACACCAATTCACTATCCCCTATGTATCTGTACAATTTGTGGCTGCAGCTCACATTTAACGTGTACAGCCAATCCCAAAAGTAGCGAGACACCAGGGTCCAGTGGAATGAAAGATTAGCGATAACCTCAGACGTGTTCATGTATCGGCTGGGTCGGGTTGGTTCTTTGCTAGATGTTTCATATTCTTTCGAACACCTGAGGTCTTGATACTGTTTGGGATGACCTGTACGTGCATATGTCCCAAATATTTTTTACAGCCTAGAAAAAAAGTCGGATATCTTGAGGTGAAAATCTATAGAAATAAATAGGAAGCAATATGAAACACCAAGTACCTGACTGTATCAGTAGTCACACTATTAGGCAACTTTTAGGAGTGCCTTTAGTGTTGGGAGAGTTTAGGAGGGTTGTCATTGTAGTGTACTGGGATTACAGAACTCGCTTTAAGTTGGTGATACTTTATTTTGACATTTCCTGATGAGATCTTTCTATCGGGGGATGTCGCGATGCTTTTTTCCCCAAGCATAGACATTCCTTTTGTGTAGGTAGTTCTTTAGTGCGTATATTTTAGCTCTTTAACGTGTACACACCTTACCTCAGGCGCGGCTGGAGGTGATGGACCTGTTTACGGACCTGGCGGACGGGAAGATGCTGCTCAAGCTGCTGGAGATAATCTCTGGGGAGAAGCTTGGCAAACCCAACAACGGCAAGATGCGCGTCCACAAAATAGAGAATGTTAACAAGTCTCTGGCCTTCCTCCACACTAAGGTAGGTCATCTGTCACCACATACTACCACAACCATATTTTTTTTTTTTTTTTTTACGGAGAATAGCCCACCTGGGCACAGGTCATCGACCCACCTAGGGGACGAAAAAATAAGAATTAAAAGGAATTAAAAATAGAAAAGGAAAAGGTACCACAGACAATCCCAACACTCCTACCACATTTTCCTATCATGATTTCCCACCACTACCACATTCAAAATAGTTTTGCTACAACGTTTGTACAGTACCACGATTTTTTGCCACAACCGACGACAACAATTTTGTGGACAAGGTCTTACAACAATTTCCAACCGCACTTTCCTTCCGTCCTCCCTCACAAGATTCATCCGCTGCTCATAACCATGATTTTGCTCACACGAGCTCTATTTAAATGACATTTTTTATAATACAGTATTGTAAATATATGTAATTGCTTATCCCCGACCCAGGCGGGGTGATGTATTGTCTGTAATCATAAGTTTGTTGAAAGTGTCTCCCAATTCTTTAACGGAATTTCACGAAGCTTTCATTATTCGAGTCCCCAAAGACGGTTTTTATTTTGTGTTATGGGGTGTGGTGGAGGAGTGGATATAGCAATCGCCTCATGTCCTATGGGTTCTGGTTTGATCCCGAGGTACTTGTAGTTCACCCAGCTATAAATAGGTATATAACACTATAGTTGGGGGAGTGAAGTACTGTATAGCGCCTTGAGTACCGAAGACTTGGTACGTGTCCATACTGTCCCTAACACCTGTCGTGCCAACTTTCACATTGACGGCTCTGTTGTATAATAAACATAAACCACAGGCTCGGACTTTGATGTTTGTAGTAGAGGACTTTATTTTTAATCCGTCACATTAAGAGACTTGGCAGTAGAGTTTTTGTTATTGTTGACGTGCATGATGGACGTGTGAGGGCGAGTATATATGAGGGCCCCTTAACCGTTACTGTTACCTTTGGAAATTATGTCTTGCTTCAAGAACCCCGGGAGACAGTTGTTACTTGTTGCCTCCTGTGAACCATGTTGGGCACGAAGAGATATCCTGAATTAATACGAATGAATAGTTCAGGGCTTCGATATAATAGCATTCACTGTAACATGGATCAACCTAGACACACGTGAGTTACCGGTCGAATACCAAATTGCGGGTTACAAACTGTTCCATACCGATAGGCAGACCAGGAAAGGAGGCGGAGTAGCAATCTATGTCAGGGATAATCTGAAGTGTGAAATAAATAAGGAAATAAAAACTGAGCGGAATACAGAAACAATTTGGATAGAATTAATCGACGGTAGGGAAAAATTAATCACAGGAGTAATATATAGACCTCCCGATCATTGATAGTCAATGAGCGACTTATCTGGGATGAAATGCGCAGGGCTTCCATACACAACAAAGTCTGTATAGTAGGCGACTTTAACCTTGGCCAAATAGATTGGACTGACCTTAAAGGTAACTCAGAATCAGAGGATTTTCTTGAGACGATCCAGGACTGTTTCCTAAGTCAACATATAACCGAACCCACCCGGGGTAATAATATACTCGATTTAGTTCTGTCAAACAGAGAAAACCTCATTAGCAATGTCGAGGTAGGGAACGAACTTGCAAACAGCGATCACAAAGAAATTAGATTCCAGTTAGATTTTCAGGGCAGACGTAAGGAAAATTCCACTTAAGTACCAGATTTCAGAAGGGCAAACTTTGACAGCTTAAAGAGGCAGCTGAGAGAGGGGGTGTCGCGCTTGGCCGTGAACCTGACAGATGACACCGACCTGATAACGAGATCTGAGATTGCCGAGTTCCACGACAATTTAAATAGTGAGTTACTTAATGCACAAAGGCAGAACATACAATACAAAAAACTCAGATCAGACAACAATGACCCTAAATGGATAAATAATTATTTAAAGAACATCATTGGCCAAAGGAAGGCTATAGGTAGAAGGATAAATCATGGCGAAATTCACCTCCGGGATTATTATAGGGTATTGGCGAGCTGGGTTAAAACCGAGATAAGGAAAGCCAAGAGGAATAATGAGGTAAGGATAGCAAGGGAGGCAAAGACAAACCCCAAAGGATTCTACCAAATGTATCAAATTAAAACACGAGAAAAGATTGGACCAATACAGTCAGACACCGGCGAGCTCACTGATAACGACAGAGAAACGAGCAATAATTTGAATAAATATTTTTCAACAGTTTTCACCACCGAAAATTTAAACATGATACCTGGGGCACCGACTTTATTCAGAGATAGTGAAGAAAACAAATTAAGCGAGATAGTAGTGACTAGTAACGATGTTAGTAAGCAAATAGACAAACTAAAGCCTAATAAGTCATCTGGTCCCGATGAGATATTTGTAAGGAAGAGCTTAGTATGCTCTTAGCAAAGTTGTTTAACATGTCCTTAAAAACAGGTGTAATACCAGAATCCTGGAGGATTGCGAATGTAATACCGATTTTCAAGAAGGGGGATAAATCACTATCCTCTAACTACTGCCCAATCAGTCTAACATCAATAGTAGGCAAATTACTGGAAGCAATCATTTCAAACTCTATTCGAAATCACCTGGAGAAGCACCGATTGATCAATGATTCCCAGCATGGCTTCACAAGTGGACGATCATGTCTAACTAATCTATTAATATTCTTTTCATCAGTTTTCGAATCGGTGGACGAGGGGCACAATTATGATGTGGTATATCTCGACTTTAGCAAAGCCTTCGACAGAGTCCCCCACAAAAGACTAATTAGAAAGGTAGAAGCACATGGCATCAAAGGTAATATCCTTAAATGGATTAGGGCATGGTTACAGGACAGGAAACAGCGAGTGAGCATTAATGGCACTAAGTCCCATTGGAGCAACGTCACAAGTGGAGTTTCCCAAGGCTCAGTACTTGGACCATTATTATTTATTATATACATAAACGACATAGATATCGGCATAGACAGCAACATAAGCAAATTTGCTGATGACACTAAAATAGGACGTGTTATTAAATCTGACGAGGACTCCACAAAACTACAGGAAGATCTAAACAAATTTTTCGAATGGTCTGAAAAATGGCAGATGAAATTCAACGTGGACAAATGTAAAGTACTCAGTATAGGAGATGTAAACAGGGAATCCAGATAGCAGATGAACAACGATGCCATAGAGAAATCCGACTGCGAGAGAGATTTAGGAGTAATGATAAGTAGGGACCTTAAGCCAAGTAAACAATGTGTTTTTGCTCATAACAAGGATAATAAAGTACTTGGGTTCATACAAAGGAGTGTTAGTTAGAAGACTAGCGAGGTCATCCTAAAACTGTGTCTTGCTCTTGTGAGACCACACCTGGATTACGCAGTTCAGTTCTGGTCACCGTATTACAGAATGGATATAGAATCCTTGGAAAGAATTCAGAGGAGAATGACAAGACTAATCCCGGGCATTAGGAACCTTGAGTATAGAGACAGGTTAAAGCATCTTAATTTGCACTCCCTCGAGAGACGTAGAGCGAGGGGCGACCTGATAGAGGTGTATAAGTGGAAGGCAGGGCTAATCAAAGGGGACATTATAAAGGTACTCAAACTATCCAACCAGGAGCGAACTCGTAACAATGGTTTTAAATTAGACAAATTTAGATTTAGGCGTGAAATAGGTAAACACTGGTTTGGAAACAGAGTGGTGGTTGAATGGAACAAGTTACCAAATATCATCATTAACTCGAATATGCTGAATAGCTTCAAACATAAGTTGGATGCTTATATGAGCAATAGGGGTTGGGTGTAAACGGGACTGCCCAGTATGGGCCAATAGGCCCGCTGCAGTTTCCTCCATTCTATGTTCAAGGTGCTAGCAAGTGACTGATCGAAGTTCATGGTTGTTACATATGTAGATGTTCCTAGGAATTAAACGAGTGTGACCCCACACTTGAGTACTCTGTGGGTTGGCTATAAATTACAGGACTAACTGGGGCCGCCAGGCCTCATCACGTTTGGTTTGTCCCATTGTACATTGACCTTGGCAGTGTACAACATAATGTATGGGGCGGGGGTAGAGGGCATGAAGACAACTTTATGCCACACACCTTGGTTATCCTCGCGATCATGAGCATAACAAGAATTATGATAACGTTCTTAAGGACCAATCACAAGATCTCCTCCTGGCTGTGGAAGATTAAGCATGGATATATACAGTATAGTCAGGCTCCTGTGTTGTTGAAGTGAGTCCCCTTATCTCCCCCTGTCCTCCTGTGTGCCTGGAGATATGAAGTTTTTATCATATCAGACCGAGCCACTTTTCATAGTTACCAGATTTGTTATATCTGATATCAAGGTTTCAACCTCAAGGTGACTATCATTTATAGATGAAGTTGGGTGTTATGCTTATGTGTTGTCATTCGTTGTTTTCCACGCAAGGAATCTAATTCTATTAGGTGTATTTTTTTTACCAGAATTGACACGACGTACTATTTACAAAAATTATATCATACCTGTTTATTTTGAAGTTAAAAAAAATGAAGTATCGTTGAATTCTACATCTTAAATTGGGACGACAACATTATAGGTTGGAGAGCTACCAAGCCTAAGTGTTCATAATATATGCCTGGATCTCTTGGCTATACCACCCGAACATGTGTGTTATCACGACCAAATATTTCTGCAAGCTGTGTACTGTTGATGCTATTGTTGCCAGGTAAAGATGCCTGATTTATTGCAGTGTTTACCCTTATCAAAATTATCATTGATCACCACCGTTGACAGTCATTACTACGACTACTACCACCACTATTAAGACCCCATAACCACTACGAAGACCCACCACTAACGTCACAACGACTCCCACCACCGCTACTACACCCACTTCCCACAGCCTGTCTCTTTGAACACCACCTACTGTATGTCATGCACTTGGTAATAAAAATAACACTGGGCATTGATTACCTCACTGGCAATACAACACCAAAAAAGAGCGGTGACGAGTGTGTGTTCACGATAAATCTTACAGCTTCATCT